CTGTCTATAGACCGAGACGATCTCGACGAGTGGCGCTTCACTATGGTTACTCGAGAACCTGTTGATCGATTTTTATCCGGCTTCATCGACAGATGTATACGGTAGATTTTTAGCTATAAAGAAAGCCTGATTTTGAGTAGGTGGTCTGCCCCTTGTTATAGGCTACACGCTCGATCCCATGCAAAACTGTTAAGGTATCTGAAGTATCACAGGCTGCCGGTAACTCGGTGGGCTACTGAAGGTGGAACTAGGCGCTGTTAGGCTTGGTGGGGGCACATGTGGTACTTAGCGAGGGCTGCACAGACCTGCAAAGTCTTGTGGAAAATCTGTAAAGTCCTGTAATCGAAGTGGCTAACTATACGATTCCGTAGTTTCCAAAAGTTCTAAATGAGACCTATTAGTTAACATGAACTAGTGCAAAGACGAGCGGAAGTGCAAAATGCCCCTCCGAAGTCGAACAGCGCCTGCAAGTTCAGGTGCTAAGTGAACTGCTTGTGAAGGTGAAAGCAAAAGAAACGGTCAAAAACGCGTTGGCCTCGGTTTCCTCTTTTTCTTAGCTGATTTTAAGTACAATGGGAACCAATAACGAAGAGTGTTTACGCCGGTGGAGAAACCAGCCGACGAAGAAATGAAAGAGCAGAGACGCAAGTGAGACGACAGATGCAAATGAACCCGCCAATCGAAACCTTCTCGGTGAGGATGTAGTGTGGCGATATGAAGGACTTACAAGCGATGAAGCCCGTAACACCCCTGTCACCCCGCTCCTTGCACCACCAAATCACCACAATCCCTGAATTAGCAGAACAGTAGAGGTTATGCGTCGTACCACGTGCTGCGTGCTTTAGCTAGGGGTGTAGTACCAAGTACCATCCAGCCACACTATCCCACAGCCATATTTTCCGGCAGAGTAGGCACATTTCTGCGGCTTCGGACTCGTTCTTCATGGGAAGGACCAGGGTCATCGGACCTCGGTCTTTGGTTCATGTGCCCCTTCCTTAGCGCTATTCTTTTTAACAGACATACATTACACTATAACATTCTTTTTAACTTTTTTTTTCTTTTTAACAT